TATAAATCGTATTTCTTATACAATGAAGAATGTTGAACTACACGAACAATACCATAACTATTATAAAAACATAAATAGCATCAATTTTCTAAGCCATTGGAACAATTCAATGTAAATTTATACAATAAAACTTCCATTACCACTAAATAAAGATTATTTTTCTATCGCACAACTTTATAACAAGTTAAATAATTAATCGATTTATAAGCAAAGTCGTGAAACTACTCATCAATCATTATCATTTTCTAATCCTGTTACTGTAACTATTTTAATATAATACAATTTATAATAAGTTTACAAAATTATTATACTCTGAAAAGTTGTTAGTTTTTGAATAAATAAACAGATGACTAGAGTAGTCTAGAAAGCTATTTTGATACCTAAATAACTGAATATTTCAAAGGTAGTCTAATTCGTAAATTATAAATCTCGATATCAATCTTTAAAGCGTTTCAATTCTTAGAATACTTACTGCTAACTGGAATGTTTTATAAATAAACATTTATCATTTGGAGTTAACTAATTTAAATTTATAACTGGATGTTTAATTATTTAGATTTTTATCACGTATTATGGTTAAATTTCACCTACGTACATGAGGCTACGAGCATACGGATTACTTGATGGTAAGCAATCAGCGCTGCCGACAATGTGCACTTGCAACAACGGAGGTGTTACAAGTGCATTGCCTACTTTTTTGCGATTAGGGTTTTAGAGATTTAGTGATAGAGTCGGCATTGGGAGAAGGGAAGAATTGGGTTACCACCACACCATACACACACATCATCAAAGGCGTCTTCTCGCATGGTAAAGGTCTTCGCCACCAAAGAGCCGAAGAATGATGATTATCTTGTCCATGCATTAGGAAATAGGCTTCATTTGTTTTGTAAAGTGGCAAGCAATCGTTTAGATTTGAATACATCCGTTAACAAACCTAATTTTGTAATCCTGTCAACCATGTAGTATCCATTGCATGTAGGTCCATTAATATAATGAAAGTTAAGAGACTTTCAAATACCCGAGCAAACATACCAACATAATTAACCTCAAAGATCCAAAAACATGTTACCGGAGCGAAAGATTTCTGTACGAAGGAGTTCAAATGTCGGAAGTTGGCAATTTACATAGAAATTAACGTGCAAACAGCTCCTATTTGATAATTATGCTAATTCAAACCTTGTGCATTTGATAATTGGTAATGTCAGGTTAGTTCAAGAAAGTTGGTTGTGATCACAGCTGTTCGAGCCCGAAAGAGATAGGCGGAGACGACGAAAGAGGTTCATTTAACTAATAGACAATTTTATCAAATTGCTAATAGTGCTAATCAATATCTTACATAAAATATATGATTAAAAACTACAAACTGAAATGTCAGAAACGATAATTTTCTTTGAATTCTGCAATAATGTCTTAATGTTTTACCATCAAATAGCATAAGTATGTCAGAAAAAATGCCAATAAAATTTTTTAATTTTTTAATTTTAAATCCTTTTTGACTTTTTAAAACATGCTTGGTTACCTTGCTTTTGAGCTAGGCTATCAGTGTTCATAAGCTATTTACAGTTAACAAACACATAAACAAACTTAAATCAATACACTCAAGCTACACCTCACGATGCATTACACCAAATATGCTGATTGTGCAAATTTTTATAGTCATAAGATACACGATTTAAAGTAAATCGAACAGCTTATTCTTCTTATTTCTGAGCAGTTATTTGAAATGTCTTTTACATTTGGGATCAAACTTTAACCTATGGGATCATAGTAACTATTATGGACAATGAAGGCTGTGATAGATGGTAATACCCATAACAAAGATGGAATTGAGGATCACCTCTCTGTTTCATTATATATGAAACGCTTCAAATAGACTTATTAATTATGAAGTCGTAAGAAATAACACGAAATCTAGCTTCACGCTTGTGGCTCTAAGCTCCTCTATTACATTTTTTAGTAGAAGTATTGAAAGCAGGATTTATTTTAAGTACCTATGTTATTTTTTTCAGGTTATTCGTGGAATAGATGGTCTTTAATTTTTAAACTATATTTGTTTTACTAACGTTGCTATTGTTTTTTGTTAGTAACACAATACAATTCACATTACGATAAGTATTTATATTTATATGTAGGTAAAACGTTTGCTCAGTCCTCGCCACCTTAAAGACAAAGGGTGAAATTTCGCACATCAGTACCTCTCTCAAATATAAGCTTTCAACTGTGAACACCGTGTTAAAATCGGTTCAGTAGCTCTCAAGTTTGTACAACAGATTATAGAAATTACAAATTAGAGAGTACGAACGTTTGAAGTAAATTGGCTGGAGTTGATGTGTTGTTATTCGTGAATTTATTATTCAGGTTTTTTATCTTAAATAAAATACAGTATCACTAGATAGTATAAAACAAAGTCGCTTTATCTGACTCTGTGCTGTCTTAAATGCAATCAAATTGATTAAAGAGGAAGACTTATATATGTATAACAACATCCATTTAATAGAGAGCAGAGCAGAGCGTGTCATTCTATGACAGCAAAATTTTAGTTGATACCTGCAAAACACAAAAACACACGAAAGACCCTCAGTATGGAACAACTATTTTTCAATTTGTCACTTGACAAATATTTACTTGACCCTGTATAATAAAAAATAAACAAAGCCAAAATTCAAATCGTAATACGTTCTGTAACTACCATAAAAACGTGCCCACCCTCCAGGGATCTACCACGCATCAATTTTCGGGCTTCAAAACAAAAATGCTTCACGAATTATTCAGGCACTTTGCATAAATATTGGATTTTAATACCAAACTCTGCTGGCTTTGATCAATATATCCGCTTAGTGAATTTTGGTACGTGACAAAGGCTACCTAAAATAGTGCATATTCGTGTACGCATAACTTGAGCATTGATTGGTGAAAATCTTAATTAATGGATTTTTTAGTAGCGAGCTGTAGTATTTTAAATTTGATTGTTTCAATAGAATATTGTTTTATGAATTGACTAAACTTAACAATTTATGGAAAGTATTTTCAATAAACACTTTCCAGCAATGATGTATAAAACTATAGATACGTTGTCCGCGCTCTAAAATGACAACATGAAATGAAGGCAATTGACAACATCGCGCTTAGTTACGCACCAACCTGCCGCGCGACGCTACGTTTCTTTTTAATTTATATCGTGTGTGTAAACCTGTGCGAAACAAAGAAAGCACGTCATCGTGTGTGTTCAGACGATGTACAAATTATACTCAAGTTAAAGACAAAAATGTGTCATTTCATGCGTAAGTTCACCAAACAACCTATTTTTATTTTATTTTTTTCGACGCCGGCGCCCGCCATCTTAGGGCGGCCGGCATGAAGGTATAGTCACGTGCCGATAGGGGAGAGTGAGACACTATTATACTAGTGTTTTTTTATGTTGATAGAATTTATAATATTGTTTGAATATAATAATTATACTTGTTATGTTATGAATATTAACTATAAGAGGCAAAAAAGTTTTACTTTTACTTATCCTGTGATGTAACTGAAGATGTATATTTATCTTCCTCTAGCAAAGGCATTCCACTATACGATGTCATATTTTCTTTCCCTTTCTTTACTCGTAGAAGTAGTTATCTAGTATTTTCGCCGTTTTTAAGCGCCGCGATGTTGGTTCATGACGTGTCTATATATAATACGTCATTGCTTTCCAGCAATTCTATAAGAAATCCTTCTAAACATCTTTAAAATACCCACATTTTTATGAAATAGATTGGCAAACGAGCCGACGGATCAACAAACCGTATGCAACCGCCCATAGGCACCTACAACACCACAAGAATAAAAAGTACGTTCCCGATCTTATAGGAAGGGATTTGAGAATTGGGGAGTTTTAGGATTGGTCATGAGGATCATGGAGGGTTTAACCTCCAGCAATGTCAATCAGACGTCGAAAAAAACATGACGCAAGCGTTGTTCCACGCCAGTTCTTAAGTCAGACAATTCATGGAAAAACATTGCTCTCCCACAGTTCAAACATTAGGACTTCATGAAATACTTCTTAAATTATTTTCACACATAATAAATGTATCTGTTATATGTTATGTTATTGTTATGTTATTGCACATGTTTGAAATACATCATAATAACAACATGTTTTTAAAATTTACAACCCCGAAACAGTGTTGTATTTTATAAATTAACCAACCATTGTGAACGTCTGAATTTTAAGTCCTGTGCGCAAACAAATTATGCAACACTAACGATATGAATCTCACACACCTACGAGATATGAGTAGCAGTTTCCCTCATTAACCCGTTTTAATAAGCGTATATTAATTATAGTCTTCATTAATTTCGCATCTGTATGAATTCGCTGTTCCAAAAATAAATCTTTGAGTAATATGCAGGTTCCGTGTTTATTTACAGCGTACGCGAGTGCGTTTATTTAATTCATGAAATGAATTATTTAGTTTTACATAATGATATTGTTACTTTTTCTTGGTCATATTTAAGAGTTGTGTGAAAATGGAGGAGTTCTTTTAGAAAATACACTATTAGGATTTATAGTAAAACAGCCACCTTCCCGTCGCCCGCAAAACTTAGTAAAATATGTATACACTTCAACATTCCTATTGAATCATTCTTTCTAAAACTAACTACTAACTAAACTATAGATACTTGTATAGATGTTAAACCTTAAAATGTAGGCTTTTAAATGCAGATTGACTGGTAAACAACACTTCAAAATCTGTCACATCGTTTCAAACATCTAAGCATATATGTCTGTCTCTACAGACAACGCGAAACTACTTTACGTAGTGAGATTGACAGTGATTGTTAAATCAACCAAAAATATCACGTTTTAAATACTTTACCAAATTAGTTTTTAATATATTTATGGGTATTAGTTCTATTCATATTTGTATTCTTAAAAAAACAAGATTTACCGTTTCACTGCAATCAATATGACAATCTTCTCAACATAAAAACATGCTTAAAAAGAAATAAGTACTCACGTCTATCAATAAAGCTGTAAGTTCCAACGAAACCCGTAGCGTTGTTCTGCTTCGCTCCAGTGTGGAACTCTAAGACAAGCGAAGGTCCTGGAGAATAGAGGGCTGGTGGGGCATCAGCTCTGCTACCACAGAGCTCCCTAGCCCAGGCTGACCGCTCATTAATAGCCCCAGGGGGCCCCGGACCTTGGACCTCCCAGTACACCTTCAAGTAGTCTCCTCGAGTACAGCTGTAACAAAAATTTTTTAATGTTTAGTATTTTGCTCATAACAATTGTATTTTGGTAAGAAACCGACTAATAATTAGGTTCAGTTGTTGAGGTTCCAATTTCAGATGCTTATTTAACTTATAAAACATGTACGTGAAAACGTAATAATGTCATCACTCATACGCAAAGCGGTCCGCCTCCAGTTTTATCAAAATCGCCAAGGTGTGGAATTCTTAACCAGAATCTGTAGTCCCCGAAGGGTGTCTTCAAGATCCGAGTGAATATATATGAGTAGGTGTGATCCATCCATCGGTTATATTATTGCCTGTCACCAGGCGTGATAGTGGCTAAACGTCTGTCCATAATTATTACTAAATAAAATAAAACTCGATACTATGGACTACATGTACGGAAAAGAAGACGTCATTGTCCCGTTACGCTCATTGTAGCGTTCTGCAAACGAGAAGAGGCATGATTGGCTCGAGCAGTCGGCACAGTCCGGTTCTTGCCACTATGTTTGACGTTGTCACACCCATATTTGAAGCCATATTTATTCGTTGACCACACTATTGTGTTCTTTTTTTGTCAGAATTTTAGTTCATGGCCAAATTAATTTTACTTTTCAATAAAAGACATGCAGAATGCCAAATATTCTTCTGCAGCTTTATTATAAAAATAAAAATTTTAAACCACCTACCAGCTTCTAAAACTAAACACCAGTATGTGGGAGCAATATTTTCAAGGAACAACCAATACTATCGGCTGAAGATCGTTAAGTGCTGTGAAGTTTTAGCGTCTCAATTTTATGAAATAAATGTTACCCGACCAGTTTAATAGCACTCCATTTTATAAAGACAAGCCTTTATTAAGATGTCATCTAGTTTTATCGGGAAAATTATGTGACTACGTTGTGTACGATATTTTCTAAGAAAAAGATAACATTGGTGCTTTTTTAAAGCTTTAGCAGGAATATTTTTAGTTGGTCTTTTTTAATTCTTTATATTAAGTGACTTATATTAATTAAAAATATGTTTCATTCATTATCAGGTACATAGATAAACATTATTATGAAGATGTTTTCAACACACTTTTGAATAAAATAATACTTAAATAAAAAAGAGAAAAAGAGACGAGTGGTGAAAAAAGTTTCGTAATGGCGGGAAAAATTATCAGTATTGCTATACGCGCGCATCGACCAAAGACTAAAAAAGATATGTTTTTTTTCGGGCTTTACGCGTTTAGCATTTTAGCGCAAGTGTAAGCATAACCCAACCAATGATTTAAAAACAATTTTTATTGCTCACTTGTGGATTAAAGTAATGAATTCTTTCGTATATTTTAATATTTTCTTTCCAAGTATGAATTATTGTATATTCGCAACACACTCTTTCAAATTGCACCCGTGCCAAACAAAAGAGGAACGGGTAGCTGCTATTATAATAAAAATGGATACCAAAGGAAAATTGTTGTCTTTGACGCTACAGCAATTTCGTCACAAAATAAAGACAATGCTTGTGTCATAGATTTACTACTTTTTGTTCCACATATTTTATATTCAGTCTACACACACTGGTATTTTCTGCCTGACATTTAAATCTTCCATACAAAATTATTGTGTAAACGTGTATATTCTAATGCATTATTCTACACACATAGATCATAGTCATATGATGTAAATATGAGGTGAGTACTACAGTATGAATTTAAATGCGTGAAGTTATAAATAAGCGTATTATATGAAATCATCACGAGTTGAAAAAACACTATTCACAACCTATATAATAAAAAAAAATATATCTCACAAAATTTCTCACTACAACACTTTACAATCGTAAATCGAAGCGATCATTTCAAAATTTAATACTCATTAACATTAATAATTCATAGTTGAATGTTGAATTTTAAAATACGCGTGCATTTATGCATTCAGCTTAATAAGGTTGGCACATTCCATCGGCACCGTTTATGCTGTATACTTTACTTTGAATTTTAAATCGTTATGCATAGTTATTCCGTTCCGTTTGGCATTTTTCCTGATCTTTGAATTGAAATGTATAATGTAAAGACTGATTGATTACTGAAGTTGCAGACATGTATGTTTAAAAAAGAATGAAGAATTTTGCTGATTTTAGTGTACTACCAGTAACTTTAAGCCTTTGAGGAATAAAGGAATAAAAGGAATGAAATCTGTACTATTAATGAATACATTATAATAGTATGTTCACCTACAAGGATGCCTATTTGTAATAGTTGTTGTCAGCCTCTAACTGCCCACACACAAGATTTCTTCTAACACGAAGCACGAATTTGCATCAATCACTACACAAACTTATTATTAGGAATTAAAAGGACAATATCCTTTAATTTTTTCCACAATCTTAGAGAGTCTATTTTTATTTTATCATTTATAGAAAACGTTATTCAAGGGTACTTGTCCATATTTAATCCCTGTCAAAAACAATCAGATAACACGAATATGCAGTTCTGTGAAATTTTAAAGCACAAATTATATTGACATGGGTCTACCATGTCAATCTAATCAGAAACGTACGCCTTTGAAATTATGGGTACAATTTCCTCAAATTACACAATTATCTGTTCACCGTAAAAGAAATAAAATATTAAAGTGGAAATCGATTCGGAGCTAAAAATAAAGCGGATTCTACCTGGCAAATGTGCTATCGTTGCGTCTTTACTAGTATTGGAGTTGACATTTTTTGGGGCACCCCAACCTAACTCAATTGGACAGAAATGACAAGTTCTTTGCCGTTTTTTGAAGTGAGATATTTTTTGTTTTTGTTTCCTAGTTTATTTGTGAATGACTGTCCGAATGCTTTCAGTTGGGGGCGAGCAGCAAATGCGATATGGGAACTTTTTTTGGAGAAAAAAGTTTTCCTTCACCGAGGATAGATGTTTTTGGAAGTCGATAATTTTCCTCTTTCTTCTGTGTAAAAAAGGGGTATCAAAATTGGTTTCTATTGTTATCGCTTTCTGGTTTCATACAGGTTTATCCACTAGAAAATTTATGAGCAAAGTTCTTTGAAACAATTATTACTGAATAGAATCAGATATTAACTGAAAATTTTAATAACTACCTATTTAGATTAGATTAGGTTACTAGGATTAGGACTACTACCTAAATATATATGTAAATATAAACATACCTACATCTGTTTATTTAATATAATATGCTTATATGTATAGGTTTACGGTAGGTATAGCCACAATAGGTACGTGAATCTGGCTTGCTTCTTGCATCTACTACTGGATTGTCTCTGCATCATTCTAAGCTAGACTGGAAGAGAATGCTCGTTGCATGAAGTTCGCCTTATGCACAATTTTGGCTGTGCATGAAGTTTTTTAAAAATTATGGCCACCATCAGAAAATAGAGTCATTAGGTAGGTACACTTAAACACTACAATAATTAATTCTTCAACTCGATCGATATACAGTTCCTATTAATTATAACGACAAGTCCATCGTTCAGTTGACTTAATTTATTATTAACTTGTCAATACCAGTTGAATGTAAAGGAAGGGTTAGTCTGGAGAAAATTACTTAGTTTTGTTTAGTTTACTTGTGAGCCACATAGATCACTTTATATATAGGTATAAAGTTCCATGCTTTTGTACGATTGGGCCGGCTCAACCGGAGATACAACAGCCTCAAAGAGAGACAAGACTTTCTTTGTGTTTCGTTGTTGGAGTGAGAATACCAGTCGTCCAATCTTTCCATCTCTTCTTCCCCAATTCGTAAAATCATCATATTAAAGGGTAAGGGGTAAAAGTAACGTATATACTATAAACCTGCTCTGTTGTTGTGGGTTCTCGACCTCCAGTTAGCAAACAAGAAAAGCTCAACTACAATAACATTGACCTATATTTTTTTTTGTCAATATAAACAAAAGACGACCGAATTTTAAAAATTCTCACCTAGGACATGAAATAAATTAGGTTGTTTTTATCGGCCGATTTGGAAGTCATAAAGGGGCTTTTTATTTGTGGTTTTGACATACATATGTATTTTATAGAGTGACATCACGATTTGGTGTATTCTTTACCCGATTGACGAAGCAGGGTTTTCCTACTACTTTTATTAAAATATTTTTATCTATGTTTTGGTTTCACTTACGACAAAAAAGTTACTTAAATATTTTTTCATTGTGTCACGGCCACCACGGTCATTGGTCATAATGTAACGTTATTAATTTTGTTTAGCATATAACACTCTATAATGAACTTGCAACGTTCATAACTTGCTTCAGAGATAATTAATTTATATGATGTGAAGTCTCCACTTGACAACTTTGTTTTCTGCCTGTAAAGTTACAAAGTTGTGTTGATACCAACTGTCACTTAATTAGTTGTGTGTTTTTAGTTTAGTTGTATAGTCAACAACGCTACTTCAATGTGTTTTAAAGTTATAGGTATGCAACTACATGTCGTCAGATGACTCAGTATACTATGAATGTTATATTATTTATATTACATGCATAGTAGTACTGGTCAGTTGGAGTTTTATGGTGGCAAATTTGCAACGGTGAACCCTGTTTGGGTTAAGCACCAATGAGTCTTAACCTCTCGCAGCCAGAATTAGTCGAGGCCAAGCATGGGACAAGGCGAGAGAAACTACAAGGAAGCCGCCTCCTTTTTCTGTAAAGCAGTCATACTCGTAAAGAAAAGGACGCAGCGCGTGGGAGAACTATACTTTTTCACGCCTTAGCCGTCGTAGAAGACACTCCGTGCGTGATCAAACTATACTAGATGGGTCCAACGAAGGCCGATGTGAAGCCGGACAGCTTTTTTAATGTCAATATATTGGTACAATATCATGCTACGTTAATATAAAATAAAATAACGAAATGTGTTAAAAACTGCATTAGTCGAGGTTGCGACATGTTATTTAGGTATGTACCGCAGTATCGGCTCAAACAATAGAAGGAACCGAATAGTTTTTAGTCAGCAAAAACTGCATGATCAAAAACAAACAAATTTCGATAGTTCGACCGATTTCAACGCCATCTGTATCGAAATCTGTCGACGTCGTCAACACTAATCGTTGAACCGAACAACATGTTAAGCCTTCGATTACAAACACTACTCGTCACCCGACCGGCTATTTGCCAACAGGACGCATTGTGAATTGCAAATCTGGTGACTGAGCGCACCATTGCTTGACCACCTCGATTTTCATCACAATACATATGTTAACTCGTGTTTTTGCGGCATTTCCAGAATTTTAATGGCCAGTACGGCTATTTCCTTGTTTGTTAAAATTAAATGGCTGGAATATAGGCTGGGTGAACGGCACAACAATGGCATTTTTATTAAAATTATTTTTGTGCTACAAAATTTTACATGCTTTGTACGAAATGTGTTTGATACTACTAAAACCTATATCGTTATTTCGTCGAGTATAATCAATTACCAAAAATGTTGGATTGGTTATCATTTAACATAAGAGTCATAGGCATGCTTTGTAAGGTTTTAATAAATTAAACGTAATTTAAAAAAAAAAATGAATGGATATATGTAATGTAATAAGTCAGCAAACGAGCAGACGGATTACCTGATGGTAAGCAATCAACGCCGCCCATGGACACCCGCAACGGAGGAGTTACGAGTGCGTTGCCGACCTTTTAGCAATTAGGGATTTGGAGATTTAGGGATTGGGGAAGGGTCCGGGAATGGGAAGGATTGGGCCTCCGGTAACCTCACTCACACGGCGAAACACAATGCTGTGGTTGTTTCACGCCGGTTTTCTGTGAGGCCGTGGTATCACTCCGGTCGAGCCGACTCATTCGTGCTGAAGCATGGCTCTCCCACACTTAAATATATGTATAAATTTAATATGTGTATAAACCACATTTCGAACTTAACAACCTTCATAATACAAACACTTTTTAAGACAAATGAACGGCGCTATAGTTGAGACTAACATATTCGGTCCAGGGAAACCGAGAAAACTTTCCTTAAGAGCTCTGGGAAAGATTTGTCTTACCGTTGTTTCCCTGGAGTGGGATCCCCGTACTGTGATCGATCTAACTGAAGTTGACAGTGTGAGAAATAATCGTGTAAGTCTGTTTAGTGTACATATATGTGCAATAGAATATATATAAGTACGTAAGCTTAAGGCTTATATACCTAAGTATATACATTCATTATTATTAGTTATTATCTGATTGAGGCTAATAGAGCATGAATTCTTTTAAACACATTGTATCTACAGAAGATTATGCTTTGACTACGCTTCAACAAATTGTCGTTATAACCCAGAAGTTAAGTCACCCATTTCTCCATTTTGACTTCTTTCGAATAATGTGCGATTTAAACTGTGGCTGGGAAACTGGCTGCCGTGCAACGTGTCGCGGGTTCGATTCCCGCACGGATCAAATCTTTGTGTCATCCACAAATCGTTGTTTCGGGTCGGGTGTCATGTATATGTGAAATTGTATGTAACTGCACCCACGACAGAAGAGAAAATCTTAGTGTGGGGCAACGTTTTTTTAAATAATAATAAACAATAATGAACCAAAACTTCTCCGTCTAAGAAGATGCCTTTTCTCAGTAGTTAGCTCTTGCAGGCTGGTGAGGATGATGGTAGACAAATACCACATTTCCAGATTTTCTACTTTCATACCAAAACTTAATAATATTCATCATTTCGTCATGTAAAGTGACAACAATAGCATTAATTAAATACACTCAAAAGCAATAATCCTTTTTCCAAAGCAGTCGCACAAAAACAATACGAATCTGGAAATCATAAATCATTCTACCAAAAAACCGAGCGTAGACCGTCCAAAAACGAATTTTGACGACACACTTTGTAAGTCAGTTTTAACATGGCGTCACTTTTTGTTCCATGTAACCCTAGCAGCATTTAATTTAATGCTAGCACATGGACATTACCATAATACGAAATTTACAATTCCTTTTCAGTACAGCGACCGATGTGAAATTTCAAACGGCATGCTCAAATGTTGAATATCGATTGCCAATTGGAAGAGAATTATCATTATTTGATACTTTATTTTACTGTTTAATTTTAAATAGGTACTTGATAGGTGATGTTGTGAATTTTTATATGAATCTAAAGTGGAAAAATTGTTTTTTCACTCATTATGAAGCAGTTCAGATTTTATTTTATCTGTTTTAAAAATAAACTTGACTACTTTATCATCATTTACAAATTACTATCATTCGTACATTCCTAAAACAAATCTGAGAATTCTATTTTAAGCTTAACTCAATAGTCTTTTAAGAGCCTTCAGCGTCCTTGGTTTAGAGCAAGAAAAAGAACGAGGCTTTTTAGTCAGTAATTAAGTCTGACACTGCTTGTAAACTCACCCTGGGCGAGAGAAATAATTTAATAAAAAATATATTTTTTTTTCCCAAAAAACAGGTCAGTTGTCTTTATTTCGTCCAAAGTTCCACAAAAAGTTGAATTAGTATAACACGTTTACAAAGTCCTCTTTGGTACATCGACCTTCCGAAAAATCACATCCCACACGCATTAGTATGATTCGGCAGATAAATGTCATTTCTATTTCAGGTCTTCATATCCACACGAGAGTAGATCAAACGCATGGAATATTCCAGAAAATTTAATATCAGTAGGTACAAGTGACATACCTCACACTGCCATGGCCCATAAATATAGGTACACACGTTTGACCTTGATATTCGATAAATTATATCAAAACTTTGGAAAAAAATTGAGTAAAAAATCTATCTTATTAATAGCCTTAGGATGCTGGTATCAAATCAAAGTATTCGAATTTAATAGAAATACGAATTCAAAAAGTGTCCGATAATGAAATTTAACATTAGTAAAGTCTCCGATAGATAAGTTTACACCCGCGACGAATGGATGTCCAAGTTCTTTGTCTGATGTGTATGTGAAATTGTATGTTTGTTACCGCACCCACGCCGCAGGAGAAAATCTTCGTTGCAGGCAAGGGTTCTTTCATATATCCCAATATTTTCAAACCAATCATAAAAATCTTATCTCCCTAAAACATTAACCGCATTTTACAATTTAACAGCGACACTAAAAGTAACAATCTGTTTAAATCTATTCAAGTTTAGTATAGGCTAGTAACAGTTTTTATTATTAATATGCAACAGCTGACGACATCGGTTTACAGATTCAATAATAAGAAACTCATGAATGAAGCTCGCCAGTCTTAAATTCAATTATGAAGTTAAAGTTTCAATTAGAATTGGTAAACTGTATTGATGACGTAACATTTCTTTGTTTTTTCGTCAATTATTCTTATAAACAAATAGTTTTAAATAAAAAAAATATATAAGTTATTTGCTTAACAAAATAAATGGTTGGGTTTCAAAATAATTAAACCGTGTTCGAATTTAGAAAAAAAAATCTAGTCGGTCCCCACGGTCGAAAAAATGAAAACGGTACCGAACACAAGCGCGGTACATTTGATTTTTAGATTTTGCCAAAACATGAATGGGTTTGAATCAGAACATTCACATATGACTTTTATTCAATTCTCCTGTAGCGGGTAACAGCAAAAAAGTAAAATTCTAATCCTGTCGAAAAAATATAGTTGAGTTTCTACATTTCAAAAGAATTTTTCAATAAATTATTTCTTTTTATACACTGGAAACTGTTTGCAAATATTTACGCCCCATATTGATATGGCTCCACGGTTATAAACAGATTCCTTATAAATTTATCGGTTATTAAGATAATAATATTTTATTTTATTTTTTGTTTATTTAAAAGTTTACAATATAATCTTTACAGGTGTACACCCAATGCGTTTTATATTGTTATACATGTCAAACATTTGAGAACAATGAACAATTAAATCCAACCTAAAATTAAGATCATATAAATTAAACTACATAGTCAAAGAAAATAAAGAAACATGTCCAAGAGAAATTAAAATAGAAAAATATTTATCACTTAAAAATAAACATCTTAGAAATGTCACATAAAAATCTTATAAATTTAATAAGAAAAACATAACTAATATACATCAAAATAAAAATAATAATTTAATAATTCAAAAGTTTCCACTGCCATAAAAATAAAACATTTTAAGAGCTCCCGCCTAAATCAAATATAATAAATAAAACACAAAATAATTAATTCTTAAACTATCCACATGAACTTAGAATGTCAGTAGTCACTTCTACGAATTCCGCCATTGTACAATTAAATATATCTATTTTTAATGCTACTCTGTTGATGAGCTTTATAGCCCTAGGCACTGGTGCATATTTTCCCAAATTTGTGCGGGCTGACGGAACCTCAAACAGTATCTGTCTTGCCCTGAGCCTTAACCTGGTGTCTGGGAGAAGCAGCCTCAAAGAAGCCAATACCGACGGATATTATTACGAATCAAAACTGTAATGAGTGTGAGTATCAGTAAGTCTACAAAATATTGTTCATGTATTGTTAATTTGTCATGTTAATTGAAATATCACTACATCAAATTCAAGATGATCGCTAGTTAAAGCACCTAATAAAGCTCAGTCTATAAATCAATGCGACTTTACTTTACCAAACAATTCGAGCAGTACCTGAACAAGAAAGCTATTGCTTGTTCTAGCCTCAGGTCAGTCATTTCCGTCACGTGTCTTAGCAAGAAGATAAGTAGCCGACACTACGTTTCCTCAATCCCAAATCTAGAACAAAATAATTCAGTACCTAACAAATGTAGCTAAAGTATCTGTAGTGTTACTTTATAACGACGGCGGAATTTTCTAGGTTCAAAAATGGGTCCAATTTTTCACCGACTTTATGCTTGACTTATTGTACGGTATCATCGTTTTCCTACAAAAAATCGGTGACCAATTGTCGGACGTCGGTTGGACTAGGTAAATGAAAGGCGAATAGTGGCAGTGTTCGTGTTTGCAGTCTGCTGCGATCGTGGTCGGCGATAGTTTGCACTCGATGCATATTAATGTATCGTCCCACAGAACAGAACTGTTCATAGTTTGTATTATATCCAGAATAAGATCGTGTATTTCGGTGGTAAAGCATAGTCATATAGTATATACGAATATTCTGTTCATCTGTTTGTTGAGCTAAAGTTTAAGATGATCAGTTTTGAATACCATTAACAGTTACAGTATGTGCACTTATGGAAAATATACTAAAATTTTAAAGAGATTGTTATGCTTTATTGAAAAAAATAAACAAATAGTTTCAATTTGCATAAAATACCTAATTAAAAATGCTCTATCTATCTAAACTAGATTACAAGGGTTCTAAGGATTTTAAGATACAATATTATGGAAAATAAGATGAAAAATATAGAATTATGAGAATCCACCATTAGGCAAGTTATTGAAATAATAACTTAGACGGAGCAAGGTATTAAATGATGCAGGTTATCCTACCTTGAACGTTGCCAAAGAGATTCGCTAAAGACGTAAAGAGCAAATGAAAGAGATAGAAACATAACTCATAAATATTTGATCATGGCTACAAAGAATGTTGAGATATTAATGTTTTTTTATTACGGAAACCTTAGGAAGTAATTCATAAATATAATCTAGATTGTCACATATTAATGATAAAAAGGAAATATTATATGTAGGTAATTAAGTTGTCGGTTTCGACAACATTCTCAACGTGCCATATGGAATAAAGTATAATAAAATTGTATATGGACACAGAGAGAAACATAGAATTATTATATCAAGTCACATAAAAACAAAATAAAGGGATTATAAATTATATTATAATATTGCAGTTTTTCAGTAATATGGATGACGACAACTTTTTAAAATTCTCGGCTTTTAGATTAATTGAGTAATCCGA